ATCTAAGCCCATTGGCTCGTTGTGGCAAGCCCAGCAGCTCATGTTGCACGCCCATTAACTTCTGTAGCACGCCCACGATATGCCGTAGCCTGCAGTAGCACAGTAGTGCTAAGTTGCTAATGTTTTTGCTCCCCGGCCCTCGGAGCCAGAGTGGCTGAGTGACTGACCAATTACGGCAGAGCCGACAAGCCGACCAATCAGATCAGACTTGGCACACGTGGGGACTCTGAACGTGGGCACTTCAGAGCCTTAGAGAGAGAGTCAGAAGTGAGCCAGTGCATGGAGCTGCAGTTCATGAAAACAGACACTTTTTTCAAACTTTAGCTTTTGTGAACATACTTTAGTAGGTACATAGATTAAATATACAAACCCCAAAAAGGGCATAATATGGGCTCTTTAATACACACATTTCACGCAGGAGGCAAATATATTCATAAAAAGAATATTATTTGTTATTGACTGTTGGCAGCTATAGGACTGCCTACTAAGGGCTAGCGCTAGAACTGGCACTTAAACTCCACACAACACTGACATTCGCCCAAATCAAAAAAAGTGCAGCACAATAAAAATGACTTTATACCAACAACCTGTTTGAGAATATTTAGTCTCCAGTGTTTCCCACACAAAGACGATACCTGAGCCCTGCTTTCTGTTGATTCAGTACTGAATTCCTATAAATAACGGAATATCGAGTGGAACTTTTCAAAATGCGAGGCGTACTCCTGGTGTTTATCTCTGTGTGATAAATTGAGAAGATTAAAGTTGTTTGTTGCAAAAACTAGGTTAATTTAGAGGATAAAACACATTTGATATTAATACAACCCAATAGATACAAGACAGATAAGATAAGAATATGACAAAAATAAAAAATTGGCGTTTTATGCTGAACGTTTTTTTTAATTTTTTTTATAAATATTGTGGAGATTCCTTTGCGTACCACCACAGGGAGCCCCGTACCAGTTTGAGAACCACTGCCTTAGATGATATTACTGAAGATGTTACTTTATTGTCCCCTCTCTTCCTTTGAAAGAATCAACTTTGATTCAGTCCAACCGATTTTTTAATTAACCTTTATTTAACCAGGTTTAACCATACTTTTTCTTTCCTTGGTTTGCTCTTAAATCTGAAAGGGCTGCTTCATACTAAACTTAGACGGATTGTCTCACTGAATCTGACATAGATATCTGTGTCTAGAAGCCGTATTTTCCCACAGCACACACACAGTCAGCAGTTGCAGTGGTCTCCTGTTAACATGGACTTCTCATTCAGTGCAGTGTGATCTGTAAGATCATCACTGACTAATGGTCCAATTTTCTGCATCATGCCTCCATCTCTCTGTTTTCCTGCTGTGCTAAAAAAATGTCTTACTGAAACAAACACACACACACACACATCTCTATTCTCCCTTCCTGTAAGAACATCCTTCCTCAAAAGGATGTTTTGTAAAAAATACAAACGTCTGTGAATGAGCCACTTCAGTTCTAAACCACTCAGTTAGTCAGTCTTTCAGTAATGTGTCAGGAATGTCTGTGGCTGAGGAGGTAGAGCAGAATGTCTTATACTTAAAAAATGATGGTAAGAGCCCTGTCACTTCAAGTTAACATTTGGAAGTGTCCTTGGCGGGAAACTAAACCCTAAATTACTCCTGAGGGCTGTGCCGTTGGTGTGTGAGTGAATTTGGTTATATAGCAGTCTCTGTAATCAGTGTATGTGCCAATGTTAACCTGTACCGCACATTTCTTCTAGTGGTGAGAGATCCGGGGCTCAATATTAATGCAATTGATCAACTATTTCCTATTCGCATAGTAGCAGGGTATTTATTAGCGATACTGTCCTTCAACCACACAGATGGAGCCTCAAAAAGATGGGTCCCTCCTGAGGGATCAACAAATTTGGCAAAATGATTAAATGAGGGTGGAAATCATTGGCACTTGTGTGCTTTTAAATCTGACCTTTTGTGTCAATAAAGTCATATTGGCTTGTGTAGATGTGGGAAAATTTGAGTGTTTGAAAGTGCCTGTGAGTATAAATGTGTGAACAACAATGGGTATCATCTGACTGAGTAACAACCCTAATGCATTCAATTTTCTGACAATTAACCTCTTCAACGTTTTTACCCTTATTGTTTCCCTCTCTTAGACTTATTTTTATTTTACACCCCATTAAGGGTCACATATTGTCCTCCTTTTCAACCTGTTTCAATAAGTCTCAGAGCTCCCGAAACACGTCTTTAAAGTTTCTTGTTATAAATCCACTCTGATCCTGTGTTTTTTTCATGCCTATAAACCGATTATTTCAGCTCTGCTCAGAACAGGCTGTTTCTGTGTCTGTAGCTTTAAATGCAAATAAGCTGTGTCGCCCACACCCCTCTCTGGAATGGCTTGGGTGGCTCGGGTGTTCTGGCTACATGCCCTATCCTTTACAGTGAGAAGGCAGACTCAGAGGGCAGAACAAACACCTAGCTGTGGGAGTGTCACCCACCTGGGGGAGGGGTTACTTCCCTTCTCCCTTTATTTGTGATGTCATGAAGGGAAAATCTCTAAACTGCCTGTTAAAAAAAATATTTCTGAAAAGTGGAGCAGGCAAAATACAGAGAGGATGGATTATATTTCATAAGACTAGGGACACATATTAGTGTTAGGAAAACATGGAGAAGTGTATTTTGCAGAATATGTGACCTTTAGTTTTCTATACTCTTCCTTTCACCAACACATTAAATCCAAACAGTACATTACAGTACAGACTGCAAACTTTAGTCCTGGTAAAGTACTACTGTGTGTGTTTGAGTATATGAGTGTGTGTGTTTTCACCATGCTGCTGTGTTGGCATCTCAGTAGAGTTTTTCTATTTTTAGCAATTTGAGTGTTCAGTCTGCCATTACTTCAGAGGATGAGAGAGAAATAGGCATGAGGGAGAAAGGCAGATGGTAACATAAAACGAGTTATAGAGTGCCGCAAAAATCCAACCATTTAGATACATGCAGACAATCTACACCTCTAAAGTAAACTCTACCTCCCCTGACATGAAGTTCATGTAAAACACTTTTTGTAGGTCAAAGAGTTGCTTCTGTACATTTAATAATAAAAAAAGTGTATAACCCAGTGTTTTTTCAGTATGGAATCCTTAAGATGAAGCTGTGCTGTCCTGTATTTGAGACATTAAAGAGTCAATAACCTGTGAAAAATGCTCATCTTAATAGATTAGATTTGGGTAAATGCAATCATTCTCTATATCAATCAATTCATATCGACCACTTTAAACCAAAACGTCATCATTAACCCAATACCATTTGTTATCTAAATGCCCTAAGTCTTAAGAGTCTCACAAACTCAGTTACAAGATCACAAAAAACAACAAAAAATATTTAGCCCCTCTTATCTAGGTTGCAAACCCAGAAACAATATAATCCTGTAACTTTCTTTATGTTGATAACCAAATTTTATTTTATATTTTAGCCTAAATAATTATCCATTACTTATTAAAATTACAAAAATATTTATTTTACTTATTGTTTCCTCAGCAAAATGTCTGTTACAAAATGTAAAACCCCTAATGCAGTACTTTTTTGTCACTTTAAGGGTGTGGCCCGTTAATAGACCGGTTTTGTCGGACTGACAGAACATGCATTGGTCTATATAAGAATGTAGGGATATTAAGTCACATCTGAGGGCACATTCACTGTGCCTTTCAGGTGCCCAGTTGTTTCTCTGGGTGAGCCTGAAAGGAGTCCCTGAAAAATATCTGTTGGTATAATAGAAAATTTAAAATGACAAAACCCACCTCACAATTGAAATGTAAACTCATATTTTTCTGTACCGTAAATCTTTGAGGAGATCCTTCATTTCCTGCTGATTAAGTAGTTTGGGACAGCAACACATGTTCAAGAAAAACTTCCCCTTTGGGACCAACGGAATAATTTAAAATCTGCAATGTCCAATGAGCGTTCATCAGTTTGATGTTGTTCACAGGATACAGATTACACACAAAGTGTCCTTGACCTGTGGGTCACGGTTATGCAGACTTTTGTATGACGTTTTAATGTTGTTAAACTCTCACAATACTCAGACACTTAGAAGAAACAAAGAAAAGGCTATTAACTATTTTTGAGTTTTGCCGGACCCACAGTGTGGGTTTTTTGGTATGTTATGACATTTTTTGAGTAACAGTTATGATGTGTTTGAAACATTATTTGTCTAATCTATTTTGGTAAAACATTTTACACATGCAATCAAACTTCCTCTACTAAATGCTTTTAATATCAATCCAAGAGTAACAGGGACATCTTGTGGTCTAATACAAGGAGTGCATAAAGTATTTTTTTATGCTACGCTGATTTGGTTTGATTAAACAAATATATTTCATTCATAGATTTGCCTTAATGGAGTTTACTGATATTTAACTACATGAAAAATCACATTTCTTTATTTTGTTTGTCTGTGCACATCCTCTATGATAATTCATCTATCTGTGCTGAGGAATGCTGCATGGGCTCAGTCGTAAAGAAGGTTGTTTTGTGAATATGGCTTTGTGTTTTTCGCTAAATTAAACACACAACTTAACATTTTGAAATGTTACTGGCATGCTAACTGGCAATGTAGGCCTACCTGTGTCAAGCAAATAATTGGAAAACGTTGCCTTCTGTAATGTTTAGGTTATTTTTTGTTATTCAAACTTGGACTGGTTTCTCACTCCTCCAATAACATCATGCATACATCATAATGAAACTGATGAAAAACCATAAAGGCAAAAAGTTAATTGTCCTTATTACAGCTATTCACTGTTTATAAATGAAGTGAAAGTCTATATTCTTATTTTGGGATATTCTGGGGATACATTTGAATATTAGATTATGTTCGGGGTATTTTGATTATTATTTTTTACATTCGTTTATTTTTCTACTTGGGGCATAAGGGTGGAGTCTGTACATGGGTGTGTCTATATAGCCAGGTGAGACTCAGGTAGGCACCTAATGGGTTAATGGTTTTTTTTTACCAGGAAGCCAGGACTCAATGGCAGGTGACAGGGCAAGAGAGACAGCAGTGTTTGTTGCCTGCTTGATGTCCCTGGATAAAATAAACCACCCTAAAACCTTCAATAATCACCTGGACAATGGACTTATTCATTTATCCTGCGTAAGATTCGCCCTCTAGGTGCCTCAGTGGCTTTAATATGAGTTTGTGTTAAGTTTTTTAATTTGTTTGGAGTTTTTGTTATTTATAGACTATAGATAGCGCCACTACAGTCCTGTTTCACCGGAATGTGCGTGTTGGTGCGGACGTGGCCCGGCGGAAACCCGGCAGAGGGGAATAGAAGACATCCTGCGCATGCGCAAACTCACTGACAACACAGCGGCTCTGATGATCGTCAACGTGGACCCTGTCATTGACCAAAACACACCGGTCTCCGTGGCAGCCAGGGTGCGCACTGCAGACCGTGAGGAGCGAGCGGGGCGGTGCGGGGCGGTGCGGGGCGGTGCTGCTCTTCAGATATGAACCTGTAAACACAAATCCGTTCTGTCCACACATCAACTATGCAGACAGGTAGGCTCTAAATACAGATGTGGTGAACACGGCCTGTGTGTATTCAGTTGTGATAAAGGCTACACCTTATTGATGATTTTACTTCTGTTCTATTAAATATTTTATTGCACTTCTAAATAAATCATTAGCCTTAAAAAGAGGCTAATTCAGATTTGTTTCGTGCTGTCTTTCATTTTAAGGTAAGACATTATGAGTTACTCAGTTTTTACTGTCCTGTGTCTGCAGGATTGAGATGAAGGTTTCTGTCTGGTCTTTGTTAGGCTATGTGTTAGCTTAGCTGCTGCATATCACCAGGATGTGTAGCAGTAATGCTGCTAGTTAGTTATTACACGCAATCATGAGCAAGTAGCCTTGTGACCCTGTTACCCTGTTACCTCGTCAAACCAGTCTTTTAGTCGACAAGCGAAACCTAAAGTTTTGAAATCTATCATCGAAGAAAAATGCTACTGTTAAAGTAAATGCTTAAAGTAATTTATTTCCTACAATCAAATGTTTAAATGTTCATTGCCTGGATACAAATTGATCGATTCACCTACTTTTTTCAAACTTTTATGTTTAATATTTGGGCAGATATATTTCTGTTAGCAGCCTATCACTGAATTTAGGTCAAATGTTATGTGAAATCAAAATGTGACTGTGTGTGCTTAGGTGTGCTCATGGAGTCTCACCTGGGCAGGTTGCTCTCGTGTTTCCTGTTTCTGTTCCTGCTGATACAGCTGTGCCCTGCTGCACCAGGGTTTCCTGCCACACAAGGGTAAGCACACCACACCTCCCACACGTTTATATCACATTGTGCTTTGAACAGGTAGAATGCGGGTCATTATCATTAACTATTTATTCACTGTCCAATACATTTATTTTGTTTATAAGCTACAAATGACATTCACATTTTTAACCAGACTTTGTAATTGTGGTGTACAAGCTTGCTGCAAAACAAAGTTTTGTGTATTGTCTTGTACAAAGACATATGGAATATAAATATATGTGGTGTAATGCTGATGTGCAGGCTTGCTGCAATTGCGGAATGGCTAAGATTAGCTACTGGATATTTGAAGCAACTCTCTAATTGAAGCATTTCCCAACTAAGGAGAATACTTTTTTATTGTCATTGCAAGAAAAATATTTATGTAATTTATTGTTTAATAATACATTTTTTTTTAATCTCTCAGGGAGGAGTCTGTAGAAGGCCACGCTGCAGCAGCCAGTATATCCAATCCTTTCGGCTCAGGAGAGGAGGACCTCAGGTGATGACACATGGACAAATTGTTGCTACTACACATCAAAATGATTTTAAGCTTTAAATTACTCTTCACTGTTTTTTTTAAAACAGTTACATTGATAAAGTCCCTCAGCAGAAATATTTTTTGTGTTCCATTTTTCCTTCTTCATGCTTTCATTTTGCATTTAAAGTGTAGCGTATCATTCTTATTTTGTTCCTTAGAATGATGCAATATTTATTTGATATAATGACTGTATTTCCTGTCATAAAACATGTATGACTCCTTCAGTAGTCAAATCAGCAAAGCAACATGCAAACTACATTCAAATTTGTTTCCGTGGACTAATCAGTGGCTGTTTGCTCACTCTGTGGACTTTGGCTGCAGCGTTGTGCCAATGATGTTTTCTGGACCATATACTGATAAGATTACATGAGCTATTATACAGAATCATGTTTCAATAATGACATATTTCCCAATTAAAAAAGGGAGAGAAATAAGCATATCTTTAATTTACACACATTGGTAATTAGGAGTAGGGTTACTTGTTGGTGAATGTGTTGCTTCAGTGTCATGTTTCTGGCTGATAACTTAATTGGATGAGTATACCAATCGTCTCTATGATAGTACTATGACCTCATGTCTTTACGTGTGTGTGACTAGGCAGATGTTTGACAGCTGTAGAAAAGTTGATAGATCTGCACCTCCACTGAAAAAATCACTGAACAAACACTTTCAAAATTTAGAATTTAAGGCAAATTATACTATCCACTGTATTTTACACTAGAACCGAATTGCCCTCTGGGATAAATCAAGTTTTCTAAGTAAAAAGACCACCAAGCTTTTTAAGTTAAGTCAACCAGTGTTTCCCTCTGAGCAGAATAAAACAACACTACACTGAACTCTATTCAGAGGACCGCAGCTCAGTATAAGTAAAAGTGTTGTCAAAAGATTGTCTTCTTTGCCTCTTCTGTATCGTAAAAGTAGACATTAAGCACATACATGAATAACCAACTTAGAGCACAATGTATTCTAACAAGACTACACTTCCTCCTGGTTTAATAATTACGTTGGTACGACTTTTTAGACAACTGAACACACTGTGTTGAAATCTGCTTTCTCAGTGTTAAGTTTTGGTTCCAAATGTTTTACTAATTGATTGAAATGTTCTCTGTGCTGTGTTTACTGCAGGTTGCTGCAGAGGTTTATTGATTCCAGTCTGGCAAATGGCCAAGGAGGACCCGAAATCAGCACACATGAGCAAGGTAGACATCTCCACCTTCTGGTGTTTCTAAACCTCTCAAAAACCCTTGACTTTTTCAGATACTCTGCTGTTGTGTTTATGTGCATTCAGCATTGAAGTTCCACAGTTTACCAGGATGTGTTTGGTTTTTGTTGGATATTAAACATTTGGGTCCTTTTCTTGCTTTGTACCAGAGGTGTTCTACCTGTTTGGTCTTTATGACTATGAACACACTGGGTTTCTGGATGGTTTGGAGTTGATGAAGCTTGTCTCAGAGTATAACCACTATCATACACCTGGAGTACGGGCTGATGAGCAGGTAAGCAGGAGTGTCTGTAGGTCTTTATGTGCTGTCTGTTCAAGCAGATATTGTATTTTGTGTACTTGTAAAAACAAAACCATTCCAAACATCTTGACCTGTTAATCTAACTTGAAGTTTGTGTGTGTGTATTCTGATTGCAGGTGGTGTCTTTAGTAGATTTTTTACTCCAGACTCAGGATCTAAACCAGGATGGCCTTTTAAGCCCATCAGAGCTGCTTTCTCCCTCATTACCTCACTCACAGGTGCGGTATATTTTCACACATCATGTTATAAAATCATATGTTATAGAACATAATATCCTTAACTAATTTATAGTTGTTAATGTTGACTTATAGTTCAGGTCATTTGAAGTGGGGTTGTGTGATGTATTTGTCTGTAGGAAATGTATTAGCCACAGGAGCTTCTGGTCCCTTTATTGAGAAACCGGCTGGAGTGCAGGCATGGAAGCTAGGCTACACATTGCTTACTAGCTTATTTGATGGCAATGTTAAAATCTCAAATACATTATACGAAAAACTAATAAGTCAACCGTGAGCATTCAAATATTTTTGTCAAATTCTGCATTTTGTACTTGTCGTGAGTTAGATGTAAAAGTATGTTCTCTGCCTGAAAACTGATCATTCAATTTTGACAGAATACCTGATGGTAGAATTATAATTTTTTTACTATCTTTTAACTTGAGGGCAATAGTTGTAGTCATTCTGATCAAGTTTTATTTTAAATCCTGGAGATATTGATGACAGAACATCTTTCTGCTTTACTATGCTACATATATTAAAGTTTGTTAAATAAATATATGATACACATTGATAGTTTTATACATATTTATATATATATCTCCTTTTATCTTTTATGTTTTAATCATGTATTTTATTTAGATTTACAGAGCCATTCCAAGACTTTTTCTCAGCTTCATTTGTGTTTGGCTGCAGTATCATTAACTGACTTCTCCCTCCTCAGGACTCCATCAACCACAGTGCACCTCACCAGGAGCAGAAGTTGACAGTGGAGGAGAAGCTGTCAAATCCCAGTACTGATGAGGCAGCAGAGCAGAGAGAGGAGGCTCACAAGGAGATGCAGCTTCAAGATCAGGAGCACCTACGACAGGAAGTTAAGCCAAAAGAACTCATAAATCTAGAAGATGAACAGAATGGACAACAAATCCCAGAAGCCCCAGCAGCAGAACAGGGGCAGGACCACAAAGTCCCTGTTCATCAGGGGCAACCAGAGATGTGAATGCACTCACACACCCGAATGCACACACACACACACACACACACACACACACACACACACACACACACACACACACACACAGACAGGCTGCTCTCTAGTGAAGTCATCAGAAGACCTAAGACAGAGTTAACGTAACACTCCCAACTGAGATGTCTTCTTCATCAACATCCTAAAAAATGGTCTCTCTTGATATGAATTCAGTATCATCGATTTAATTCTCCTTTTAAACATTAGGTGAATGATAATTGAAGAGAGAAATCTGTTAAAAGTATTCTTGTCACTGAATAGAAAAACAAATTCTAGCAGCAAGAATCTCAAGAAGCTTTCATGAATTACTTTTGTTTTTAAAAACCCATATTGATTTTAATAGTACATCAGAAGCCATCCTATATAGGTACATATCTCTGAAAACTCATATTGATTTCCAAAAGATTGAAACACTTCATCTTCCAATTTAAATGAGTTTAAATAAATTATAAAATCTATTTTATTTTGAATATTTGGCTACTTTGATTGTATTTATTCAACCCTTTCTGTTGAACCTGAAGGAATGCACATTTAATGTATTTGTGTTGTTCTATGTAGTGACTGTTGTTTCATGTACAAACTAAATGGCCTTAATGTGTCTCACCACTCCAGGCTTAGGTCTTGAATCTCTTAGCTGCTTTACTTTTGTCTTCCTGGAGAATTTTCTCAACTTGCACTATGGCTAAAATTGTCTTCCAAGTTAAATCATATACCCTAAAAAACACACACATTGTTGTAATGGTAAAATTATGCACCTTGCATTAAGTATTGTACTTTGATGATTTTAATGTGCCTCAGTGGGTCAGGATTACAGAACAGTGCTAAATGAGTGTGTTACAGAGCCTACTCACGACAGTCTTTGGGCTACAGGCCTAACAGTTCTTCATAATTTAGATCAGGAGGCTCTGTTTAAATGATATTGGATTCAGTCTTTATCTCTAAACTTGAAAGTAGTTGTGTTGTTAATGCCCTTTTTTCTTTAATCATTTATGCATTTTTACAGCTTTTAAAAATTAAGCAATTTCTGTATCTCGTTCCTCCATCATGTGTTCTGTTTCTAATAAACAAAGTCAAAGAAATGAATAAACATTTATACAAATATAGGCCTACTGTCATTGTTTATTGCAAATAAGCACAGTTTTTGTGACATTGTTAATCAATCTGAGGTAATAAAGTGAGCAGACAAGCATCTAGTTGTGGATTTACAGTTTTACTTGTCAATGTAGAATGTTGTCATCTCAATGAAAATGTTGAATGATGCTGAAGCTCTGCACATTAGTGAAAATAATTGTGCGCTGTCAGTTTTCATGTGTACAATAGGGATTATTCAAGCTGTGTACTAGACATTGTTAAGTATATTTTTGCCGAAGTACAACAATGAACCTTAAGTTATTTAAATGATTTTATTCCTATTAATATTTTACTTTGCTAACTAGCTAGCTCCTTTTTGACCGTCCCTTTTTGTTGCTAGGCAACGGTTTAACAACCGGGCAAACATGGCGGAGAACAAGCAAAGTGCAGGTTCGTATGAGTAGTTTTATTAAGGTCTGTTTATAAGCATGACTTCGTATGGTTATGAAAGAAACATAGGAGGCAGTTGTCTTCTCTCAAGCCCCCGGGGCGCTGTAATAATTGTGCTCTTGGTTGAAACTTTGTCTTGGTTCCCCTCTTGTCATTTAGAAGTTGTCGTGTCCGATGTGCACAAGAAGATCAGAGCAGCATTTGAAGTGTTTGACTATGAGTTAAACAACACAGTGGACGCCCGGTGAGCTCTAACACAGTGATATGATGATAAGTCAAATTTGCAGATAAACCAGTATAATGTAGCCTATGTCAGTTTAACACTAATTTAAATATGATCCATTTGTGTTTTCAAGGGAGATTAGCACCATCATCTGTTCCCTGGGCTGCTTCCCCTCTCAGGCAGACATACATGACTTCATAGCTGAGGTCAGAGTGGTGTTGGAAATATTTTTAGATTTTTTCTCATTAATACTTGAAAAGATAAGTTCATGGACTAAGGATGCAAGTTTGTTATGTAGGTGTTTCAGTTATGCAACACTTTGTTCTTTGACCTAACCTGTGCCAATAACAGAAAACAATTAGTCCATGGGCCAGACCAGATTCTGGTACCACTCAAGGTGGCAAAACTTAGTAATCATTTTTGAAAATGTCCATGTCTGTAGATGATATTTTGGTATGATAGACTTTCCTGAGTGACAGCCCCTCACAGTAAACAGCTCATGATGTGAACCACCCAAAAACTGAAATGCAATTTAGACATTGGTGCATATCCTGCATGTCCTGGTTTAGGCTCATGTTTTCTCAATGTTTAATAATATAATTATAAAAAATCAATCAATTATTCTTTATTTGTATAGCTTCAACTCATAACAAGTGTTATCTCAAGACACATACAAAAAAAGAGCAGGTAAAAAGACCATACTTATTGTTCTGTTGCAAAAAGCCGTTAAAAACCTTACTCATTGTTATTTTACAAAAAGCCGTTAAAGACCTGACTCATTGTTATGTTGCAATTATCAGCTTGTTTGTCAAAACCAAAACCAAGAGCCTTTTTATTTTCAACCAGGTTGAAGAGGACCAAACAGGATACGTCCATTTGGACAAATTCCTTCCAGCCATGACCAAAGTGCTGCTGGAGAACAAGTAAGACATTGACTTTATCAACAATCAATGCTCTTGTCTTGTGCCTGTCCTGTTATTCACATGTGCTGTAGAATACATGAAAATGCTCATTTTGAGGGTGAGATGAAAGCCAAGTCATGATGCAAATAGGTTCAAATAGGAACGCAGCCACCTCTCCTTCCTTTCCTTTCAAATAGATTCGGCCATGTTGGAAGGATGAATTACTGACATGCTTTGTGTGCTTTCTTTCTTTCCTTTTGAAGCACGTTGAAGCACGGTTAATAACACAGCTTCTTCTGGGTTGTTGAAATGAGGCTTAGCAATAAATAGTTTGTCCTTATGTTGTCCATCTATGGAAATATCTCAGCTTCACTTAAAACCACTGACAAAACCTGATCCTCTTGCAGACAACCAGGCTTAGGAATTACTTGCAGAATAAATATTGATTGATTTCTTGATATAAAGCAATGGCTTACAGATACAAATAGCCGTGATATTTGTTCTCTATGTGTGTTTTTTTCGTGAGGTTCCCTCCCATCCCTGAGGACCGTGTGCTTCAGGCCTTTGAGGTGAGAGCAGCTGCTGTTAACTTCATTCTCTGCAGGGTTGTAGTTTAGGAGCTCTAACTAGGTTAGCGCACACTGATTTTTCTTTAACTATACACTTGTTTCAGCACTAGCAAGTGCCCAGTATCTAAATGAAGAATGAGTCTGAGTCTGTAATGTCGGTAAACATAGAGGTATCTGTGTTTTCAGGTTCTGGACAAAGACAATAAAGGATACCTGGAGGCTGAGGAGCTCACAAAGTACCTGACACAGGAAGGTGAAGGTTCAGTTTCTACTTCGTGAGGAAAAGAAAGTATTTCATGTGAATGGGTTTATTAACCACTGTTGTGATGTGTTTGTTTGTTCATGGCTGTCTTCAAACCAGGGGAGGTCTTCAATCAGAAGGAGATGGATGAGATGCTGTTTGCATTCTCCGACCCTGAGAAGAACGTCATCCATTACAAAGACCTGATCTGCCAGCTGACCTTTGACACTGGCCAGTAGACAGTGTCAAGGTTTTATCTGAGAGAGATCTCAGGCACCATAGTATGAATAGGACTTTTTGTTTACAGAGGTTTTTTTTTATATAATTCAGTCCTAATCCTAAAAACATTGGCAGATTGGGGAAAATGTACCATGGCAACAATAAATGAATAATCTAAGTTGAAGTTTAACATACAGCTCTTTTTTTTGCTCCCATGCATTTAGATGTATTATCCAACCCCCTCTCTCCTATTTTCCATGTTCAAAGATCAGAGATGATACACGATCTTCAGTTGCACATTTTCAAATTGGATCTTAATGTAAAGTTTGGATCATTATATATATATATATATATATATATATATATATATACATACATATATATAGTAAACTAAAATGTGCTAGAGTAAAGCCAGAAAAGGTTTATCGGTAAGTATTTCAGAAAGGCAGCTTGCTGCTGTCTGAACCTACAAATAGAAGCTGAGGCAATGCTGGGTCTAAAAATAGCACAGGCTCCTTACGAGCTCAGCAGCAGTGGGATTCAAACAGAAAACGTTACTTTTTTTTTACCACGTATTGTTGACTCTAGTTAAGAAAACAGAGCTGCTCTGGCTCATGTGAGTTGTTCTGTAGATACATGTAATATCCCTTTCTGATTTCAATACTTATTACTAATGAATTCACCAATCTAATAAGTGGTTCATTTAAGTTATTTTTTTTTTAAACATGGTCTTTGTTGAAGAGTTTTCTTCTGAAGGACATCGTCATAGAGAAAGGGTCGTTCCCTATAGAAAGTGAAATACCTGAAATAAAAAATGAACTCAGGCTGGATGCAGAGATTTTGAGGATGTAAAAGGATACAACATTCCTGATAGTGAATCATGATGTCGTGGCAAAGAAGCCGTGATGTGAAAATCCCTTAGCAGGTCACAGATGTCTCAGAGAACTGTTTTGTTAAGTCAGCTGGAGTTCAAAAAATGTTTTATCTGAACTTATGCAGCTGGTTAGCTGTTGAATCCATGATGACCATGAACCATGATTACCAATAAATGAAATGAGTAAATTACAAAAGCAGTGATTGATTCTTTAGCATAGCATTTTATCTTTTAGTTTTGCATCAATCAACATGCATGAAACAGTGAAACACAGCTTTGAAACTTGGATGACATGGCCTATCTAGAGCTTAGATATGTACCGGGAAATGATATGGTAGCAAACACAAGCAGTTCGATCTCTGTACATGAATGCATGCTGAAGTTTTTCTTTTCACAGTAAAACAATGACCCGTTCAACTTTGTTTCCAATCACCATGCAAGACAAAGGCATCAGAAAATACAAGAAAAGCCCAAAGGTATAGAAAAAGTATTTTAAACGTTCCCTTTTCACTAAAAATCTAAAGTCAAAACAGAGTAAGGCTCATTTACCTTCAACATAATCAAACATTAAATCAGTACAGTCTCAATATACAGACAAAACAGTTGAATGGATTTCTTCACCTTAGGTTCTTCATTTTAACATCACAGCCGATCAATTGTTAAATGACTACACATGTTCCTCAATGAAGTATGCTTTAACATTCAGCTTGACATAACTCCTAAAGACAGATGGACAAAATAACTACAGAATCTGCATGTTGATATGCTGGGATCAAACTCACTTCATTTTGAAGTAAATCACTGAAGTTGGGTCTGTGCAGGAATGTTTCATTTGTACATGAGAAAAACAGTAGAGTTCAAGTCCATTGGCAGTCAAAAGAAAGTGATTTCAACCCTAATAATAGTGGATGACCATGGGGACATTTGATTTATTAAACATTATTTTACAAGAAAGACATTTAGAAAGCCAATAATTGGTGTGACCCTGAAATATATTTTGCTCCTACTCAGAATGAGAAGGGTAAAGCCTCAAATGTGACAGTTTCTGTGTGTCCACTTCTCCACAGAACACCATAACATAATGTCGAATTTATAACTTCACGTTGACATTACCTAGGAAAAGCTAAAACTAGAGAATGTTTTTTTTTTTTTTTTACCACATCCAGAAGCTTCTACTTTGCACCCATGTTAACAGCGGTCCACACTTTTTTTGGTCCTCATAGAGCAATAAATAGACACACAGGGAGAGGGAGGGAAGTTAAATATGACCCACAATAATGCAATTTGACAAAGTTACATTTTTGAGAAGAGGAAAGAAGGGGGACAAGAAAGTAGGAAACAAAGATGATGGAGGTAGAAAAGAGATTATTGACATCATATCCAGATACCAACAGTGGTCTCATAGCATCTTTGCTGTGTTATTGAACTGCAACTGACCTGCAGAGGAATGACCATCTTAAAACAAGTAAAACTATTTTTTTCACATATATTAGGAAGAATGGGTGTGATCAGGCTACAACTGTACTTTCTCAGCCATTTAGAATGAAACAGGAGGATAAAGGCAGGATGGTTTACCTTTTTTAACTTTCTGAAAGCACTTTAACGGCAAGGCAGGGATCATCACAGTCATGATTACTGATGACACCCAGAGAACAAGCTCCTCAACAAACAGAAGATCCAGCAATTGGAGTAATAAAACAACTCTGATTTGCTGCATAGTGAAGTCACAGGTTAAAATAAAGACAATTTATCATACAGCAGACATTGCAAAGCTTTGTCACTAACATGAACAGAAAGAAAGTTTGCTCTGTAATAAGAGCAGAGCTGATACACAAAGCATGACAACTTAGCCCGAGGCCTCCATGTGTAGACCGATATCTCATGTTTGGTCTCTTTCTTATTAAAGGAAAATACCCGAAAGGCCTTTGAGAAGAAGAGGAGGACAAGAGTCAGAGGATGGGCTAAACTGACACGGCAAAGAAGTTGGGTGTAATGAATCAAAGCGAGACACAGCAGGGCAGTGTTACCTTCAGAAATGATAAAAGGTTTTGCACTCAGGCACAGACTGGGTAAATTAATTAGTGTTTCAAAAAGAACTGAGCTCAAACATTTAATATTTAAAAGTCTGACCTGATTAAAAGCCGCTGCAACCTAACACCTGACTCCTGAGAATGAAAATCAGAATGAAATCATTTTCTTATAGTACACCTGGCAGGTGACATCAGCCTGATCTCATAAGGTTACTTTGCATCAAAGGTAGATCATGTTTCTAGAGTCACATATACTTCCAACATCATGTCAGCATTGCACACAGATAGACCATTCAGTGTTCTTCACTAGATCTGCAGCACCAGACCAGCAGCTGAGATGTTGTCCCCTCCCCCTGCAGTTTGATAAACCTCAGTGCACACCAGCACTGGAGCTACACAGATCTCATAGTCCTCCTCGTCCCAGCAGCTCACAGGCCTGCTCTCTTGTAGAGGGATCCGCTGGCTGCCCTCTTGCCGGCTAACAGAGAAAGAGTCGTCCATGATGAGCCTGGCCTTGCTGGGGTCAATGTCGTTGGAGCCACAGACGTGGCGGTTAGCTGTGAGAGAAGCTTTGGCGGTGGCTGACATGGTGTTCTTCCACTGGGAGCCATGTGTGACAATCATGGCCTGAAAAGCAAGTGTGTGGACGTGTAGTCGTGTCAGCGGCTTACCCTCACCACTGTTTGTTTCTTCACTGATGTCCTTGTAGCGTTGGTTCAAAATGCGGTAGACCTCCCTCATCTGGTCCAGGACAGTAGCTACACGAGGGTTTGGGTCAGACAACACTGTGATGTTCGAGCCTTTAAGGAGACTGAGCAGGTTGGGAAGCTCCTGTTCATTCATCCCTAAAGAGTCAGCCTGCACAGAAGGATAAGGAGGAGGGATTTATCTCAGGACCTACCTTCAACTGGACTGTGAACTTGATCTTGATGTACAAAACTTGGCAGGTGCACTTTTGTTTAGATGTGAGACAATTTTTTGTAATATGTCAGGCATTACATACTCTACTATCCTGACATGTAAAATCAGGAGACTCAATGTTTTTTTGTTTGCAAATCCATTTAAAAAAAACTTTGTGGAGTGAGATTAAACGATTTCATAGAAATGAAAGATAATGGTGAAGTGTCAGACTCCACATTATGGGAGATGTTGAAAGTTGTTATTTGCAGGGATATCATTTCATATGAATCTGCTGCTAAGAAAGAGAAAGTGAGGCGACTATCAGAGACTGAGAACACTTTCCCTGCCTTAGAGACAGCATACCAGGCTTCTAAGTCTCCGGAAGTTACAGGGAGATATTGAAGCTTAAATATGAGAACAATAGCTTCCTAGATTGTCAAATAAACAACCTTCTCCTGAAGTTAAGACAAACACAATTTGAACTTGGGGACAAACCTGGGAGACTCCTGGCACAGCAGCTCAGAGGCCTGGAGACCTCTGTGCAGATACCAATCTGTTTTAACAACTCTTTTTTGCCTCCACAGTTAGATAAAACCTATCATGTCTGGAGGGAGAGGGGCTTGGTAAACGTCACAGACCTTTACATAAACGGACACTTGTCTTCATTCAATCAGCTGAGAGAGAAATTGAATCTGCCCCAATCACACTTTTTTCGCTATCTGCAAATGAGACACTATGTTCGATCCAAAATTCATGATTTTGAGACCCTCCCAGCAGAAAACACATTTTTTGATGTCCTGAAAAACCCTCCCAACTCCAGACATCTCATCTCTAAGTTTGTGTTTTTGTTTGACAGTTGTATCTCAGCCAATACTGTGAAGATCCAGGAGGCTTGGACAGAGGAATTGGGCATTGCTCTGTCACAGGTTTTGTGGGATAAGAGTCTGTCTATGATACATTCTTGCTCTGTGAACAATAGACACCAGCTGATTCAATTTAAGGTGGTCCACCGACTTCACTATTCTAAACACAGGTTGCATCGATTCTATTCTTCTGTTTCCCCGTTGTGTGACAGGTGCAAAGTTTCAGAGGACACATTGACTCATGCCTTCTGGTCCTGTCCTTTGCTCACTGGATTTTGGTCCAAAATATTTGACTGGTACTCTAAGGCCTATAATATACTCTTTTATCCAGATGCTGAAGTTGCAATCTTTGGCTGCTCACAGTTGACTGAAAGTCTCCCCTCACGCCTGCAAGGCTCCCTAGCACTGGGGATGATTATCGCTAAGAGACTCATTCTGTCAGACTGGAAGTCGTCTTCCCCGCCTTCTTTTCAAACATGGATCTCTGAAATGATGTCAGCCATACGAGTGG